AAGGCAGATCTTTCATATGACTGATGTACAGAAACGTTTAACAGATCAAGCCGGGAGAACAGAGCATATGTTTTATCATTTTAATCCTAAGCGTAAAAAAAGATTATTTGACAATAGAAATAGATATTTTAAAAACCTACGTCAACTATTTATCTTGCAATTGTAATTCCATCAAATACATGTAACCAATATTTAATTTCGTATCATAACCAAATCAAGGTTTCAAAAATACATGTGAGAAACAATCACTTCCTATAATTATATATATTGTAATCGTCGTAGGAATGGTACTTCAGTTATTGTATGTAGTTGTATTTCTTGAAGGTGTGCGCCCTTTGTGGCTGAGGAGGTGCCTTTTATGCGTGAGGCATGATAATTAAATTCACTGTGCAACACATCGTGATCGAAAGAGGCGAGTAAATGTGTTCGAATAACAGGCGTCTATGTATCTCTTAGCTCTAGCAGGTGATGTGATTTTGACCCTTGCTGTTTCCTTGAAGTATGCACACCCGAAATGAGCCAAAATCATATTGCATTATGACCTTTAGAGTGTGAGTGTGAGTGCGCCGTAAATTCACACAAACAAATCTTGAAGGTAAATATATTTTCATATACGAAAGTTAGGATTTTTTTATTTCAAAGATATATCAACTGATGTAGAAATTATTTTTCCTACAGATTGGTAATAGTAAAAAACAAAAAACAAAATCCCTAAAGAAAGCCCAACAGAGTAAATTTGTAAAGTGTTGGAGGCTCGGTTTGATTGAGCCTGTTAATGGACGGTACTGAAATGTTGAATGTTGAAAGACTCATTCAATGTTCAATGACCTCACCATTTAGAAATAGAATGACTTATTAATGTAAGGTAAAATAGAACTTAATGTTTATTGATACAAAGTGTTTACAGAACATCTTAGAGTTTCTAGCCAGTTATGCTAAGCGTAATATAGAAAGAAAAAAAACATCTTAAATTTCATAAATATGTCACAAAGACATTTTGCTATCTGATATCTCACCACGTTAAAGTTTGTTTCATTCCGAATCTGTCAGCCAGATTGCAACATTGCACACATCATAACATTCCAGAAATACACTTGCCAGTCAAAACAATATGTACTACACGTGCTGCACTCGTTATGTCTTGCAAAATTATCTTAAAGCTGTTATATTGCCTTTGTATTTTTTCATTTATTGCAACCAAACAAAAAACAGCAAAAACAAAACAACAACGAAAACGGGAAAGCCAGAACGGGAAAACTAGACGTGAATACCGTGAAAGACCGAAAATATAACATCTTGGTCTACTATTTTACTGCCTCTGAACACTAAATAAACAATACCGATATGACAATACAATGAAGAAAAACATAATTTCTAAAGAACGCACAAACCGAGTCTGTTCATGGACGGTAGTGGAAATTACAAGCTACCGTCAACCATCCTCAGCACCGTCTAAAGCAGAATGGTAAAAGCTTGATTGTAAATTGCGTATCTAATGCGTTATAAAATCTTTTTAGTAAATGAATTACAACGTTCCTCTAATACTGTTTCTAATGTTTTCAAATAACTCTACCCAAGACAAAACATGACCCTCAGAAATGCCTAGAATGATTTCAGATTGGCGGTAGAAAAAAGATCAGTGAATCGTTAGCACACAATATCAGGCACTAAACATTACTGTATTCTCTCAAAGACATATACAGCGCATTCATCAATATAAACATCAATAAAACAACATTTTCTCATATTCATTTTGTGTTATCTTGTTTTGTAAGTTAATCGGAGGGTTAAACTGAATGACAGATATATTTGTTTACATTGACAACTGTCCGTTTCTTAGAAAGGGCGACAACCAAGATTATCGGCGATGTCTTCCGGCATAGTTACTTGAATGCTGCTCGCCGTTATACGATTGAGGCCCTCGAATTAATAATTTCAATATAACAAGAGCGCATGACTTTTTGGCAAACAGGCCAAATCGTCATTTTTTGTTGTTGTTTATTTACTGGGCCCTGTATGTATTGCGCATAGACAAAACCGGGCTATAACAAAGCGCGTGACTATGTTAACACATGGTTTTGGTCCCGTTATAACATGGGCAAAAGAGGGAAAAATAGCCGATTTTATGCTATAAGAAAAATAAAAGCATTTTTCATGAGATTAGATTTATTCTATTCACACATATATATTTTGATTTAACTGTAAAGCGTCCTTATATTTATTGAGATCCTTTATACTTCCAAGGGTAAATTTGTGTAAACTTGTGTACCCAAAAATAATATCACATTCCCGTTGCAAATTAATCTTGAACCAGATTTATATAAAAATCGCTATTTCTTTTGTTGATGCACCTCTATTCAACATATATCTTATAAAGATGTCAGGCTAAAAAGCTTTGTTAACTTTGATCCCCGGGAGATGCTTTGGTAGTTTAGCGCGGAGGAAGGTAGTCTAGTACTGGTGTAACTCTCCAGGAACGATGGTTAGGAAACTACCCGCCTATATGACTGAAATACTGTTGGGAAAAGGCGTGAAATGAAACAAACAAACAAACAAATTTGAAGACAAGTAAGCTGTTTTCATATTACTACATGTACTATCTTTCATTAAATGGCCAATTTATCAAAACAAGTGCGACCTTACAGACAATTTATTTGTAACTGGATATTCGGTAAGGTTTAAAATATCAAAACCTTACAACTTTAAGATACATCTCATTATATGTCTATTGTGCAACTGATAAGCATACTTTTTTAAATTACTCTATCTTCGACAAAATGTTATTTCAAACGAATTTTTCAAAATAATAAATTATCCTTATCCATACATAACGAATAGTCGACGTTCTAACAATGATCTATCAAAGGACTTTGATGTTGTTAATCTTTAGTAAGAGATATGCCAACAAATATGATGGGGGTAAATATCTTATGCTTTTAAAGTTCACTTGAAGTATTTACAGAAAAGTATTGAATTGAACTGTCTAAATATTTAATCAGCCGTATATATACTTTCCAAGAAATACACGAAACGAATTAAGTATTGAATACTTGTGTTATGGTCATTGGGTTTACTTTTATATGTTTCTACATGATCATTTTATTGTTTTACTTATTTAACCTTTTGTAACCATGACAACTGTTAGAATTTCACTTGGCGGGGATTCATTTTATTTACACTGTCTCGTTTATAGGAACATGGTGGGGCTAAGAGCGAGGTTTGGTGCACCATTAAAAACTCCCCAGCAGTCATTATTATGCTGCTGACCGTTCCAAGGCGGCGCCCCACTGTGTTCCTCAGATGTATGTCTATGTTGTTTCATACTGTTTTGGTGACACTTTTGCTTGTGTCCCTTGTTGTTTTCTCGTCTACGGTAAGTATCTTCCCCATTGCCTCTAGTTTTTATTTCTTTGATTAACCCCCCCCCCCTTCCCCCCGTCTCCTGTCCCCTTCCCCTTTGTGGGCCTATTATTATTTTCTTCGAATTCCTAATCAGTTACAAATTATTTATCATTTTATGATTAACCTGTCCGTGCTCTGTCTTTGCCCTGTCCTGTTTTTGTTTGGGGTCCGCCTGGGCTCCTTGCCATTGGTTCTTGTTGCTGGGTCATATGGGGGTTGCGTTCATTGAACGCCGCCTTTCCTTGTTGATCTTGTTTATCATATTTTGAAATATTACAAGTAATATCAAACATTTTAAATATTTTAGTTTGCCTGTTAATTTGAATAACTTGAACAAACGGACGGATATTTCAAGACACATTTACTTTATCATCATCATGATGTCATTCGAATTTAGAACCTATTCAAGTTGTTCTATGCCTAACAAATATTTGTTTCTTGTACTTTAAGCGTCATGAGCTATGTTCCAGAAAATATGTGGTAACTTATTGTTTTGCATGCCTAATGAAAAGAACTGCATTAAAAGATTTATATATCATTCTTCACTGTCAGGATACCTTATCTGATAATACAATGAAATCATCTTCGAGGAATGTGAATAATTGAATAATATCATGAATAAAATCTTTTAAATTTTCGTCTTATTGGCTGTAATAGAAAAGAAAGTATTTAACACTTTTGCAATAGTGCAGAATATATCTATTTCATTAACTTAAAAATATGATAATGGCTGAACATCAGATACGTAATTGTGTAGGAGAGTACCGACAAGTACTGATCTAAAGCTGGAATAAACTACAACAGTAAATATTTCACCGTCTACCTCAGAATAAACATATTATATATTAGTAACCGTTCCAAAACGTAGGTAATAACTGTCACAGCCGACAAAGTCATATTTTTACAGATTCTCTTTATTAACTATTGCTTTGCTTAATGACCGTAAATATTTCCTTTATATCCTTGTTATATGACTTCCTGTTCTGTTGTTGTTAATATCATCAGGTGATGTTGTTTTGACCCGTGCTGTTTCCTTAAAGTATGCAGCACCCGAAATGAGCCAAAATCATATTGCATTATGACCTGTACAGTTTGAGTGCGCCGTAAATTCAAACAAACGAATCTTACAAGTACACATTGACTGGGTGAGATCAGAGATAAATCGGTCTGGAAAAATATGAAAAAGTATTAAAGAAATCACAAATAAACTACAAAGCATAATGGAATTTTTGAATGTGCAAAATCAAATAAATTACATTTGATGAAAGCATAAATTTACTCAGTCCTTAAAAACAAAAATTTCGATGAAAAAGATTTTTAACAAAAACCCTTCAGACTTTAACGAGTGGTTTTAATGTTTTTGTCAAATTGAATACGATATACCGATAGGAATTCAATAGTTGTTGCAATGAAACATCAATACGTGACACTTGATACGCAAAATGCAATGTAAATAAACTAAATGCTTTAATTGATGTGAAGTATTTTAACCTATGCACTTTCATTGAAACATAATTGAATCAATCTTCATATCACAACAAATGCCTTCCGTGATTTAACCCTTTTATACCGCATACTATGTAAAATATTTACAAGTCATTTCATTCGTCGATACAAAGCTATGCAAGGCGCGTAGGTATAATAAGTTGTATTTTGCCCAGGTAATATATTATAACGACTATAGGATATTATATAGAATACTGAACAATTTATACAATGGAGGGTAGCTCACAGAAACAGAAATATAGAAGGCAAAGGATTATTATTAGAATCGTTTTGGATCTAACAATTTGGCTAGCAGGTATTTTTTTGTATTGCTATCATTTAAAATTTGTTTAATGGTTCATGATCAGTTGATAAATCTCTATGTTATAAATTTAAAGACATCTTTTGAAAACAAATACTTTAAGAATGAGTCTAAGAACTTATTGAAACGGAGTAAGTTTAATGGGTATTTCATAGAAATTACCTACATGTATTTTATTGATGTAACTTTGTCAGAATAAATTGCAAAAATTTTACACTTTCATTTTTATTAGGTTTTTGTTAAAGGTTTTATATCAAATGTAATTGTTCGTGAGGGATATATGTTCTACACTTATTTCTCCACAAATTTATAATTCCCTTCGGTCCCTCAATGACGTTACGTCACTTCCTTGTTTTGTCACATTATATTTGTATGTATAATAAATGCTGCCGAAGAAGGCCGAAATGCCGAACAAGTGTTTTAATTTTAACGAGAAATATACCTTTTTCAATTTTTAACTTTTATATTTGAGCGGTCCGAAATCAGTACGTGTTACGTATTTTCATTATAAATGGTTGAATTCTCTTCATGTTTTATTATTACAAAACTATAATATAATAATATAAAAATAAAAATATAACAAAATTGTCAAGTTTAAATCTTCGCGTTTGTATATTTCAAAATGCAACAATGTGTTAAGTAATCTGCACTCAATCTTGGCAGGACATTAAACTGTATAGAAATTTAACTAGCTTTTAATGGAAATGCAAATTTAATTTGCAACCCATTCAATACACTATTTTAAATTAAATTTGCTTTCAAAGTTTAACACTTACGTCAATATAGTGTAACAATTTTATGTACCGTGACACTAAATTGAAACGATATATATGCGTCTTGTATTACCACAAAAAAGAAACCACTTTTCACTTAAAGTATTGAAGTGTTAAAAATAATATATATCAAACGAGTCATGTTGATAGCTTTGACAATATTTTATAAAAAAAAATTGTTATGCCAAAATGTCGGAAAGAAGTTTCATAAATGAAAGCATTTTAAAATTATAGCTAATGATTAATAACATAGAAATTTGTTTTTTGAATTTTTGTTAATGATGATGTATTATACATGTTAATGTTATTTAACGAATTGAACTACACATGTTTGTTTACATAAAAACTTTTTTAATTTATTAAGTTTACAAAATGATCATGGTAAATTTTATTTATTTTCTAATTTGTTAGAATTAAAATAAAATATGAATCTCAAATAAAAAACGAAGGTGAAATTTGCCCTCGATAAAAGTTATAAACAGGTCCATTGTCTTTATGTAAATTAGCTAAGCGACATCACCTATATTTAGAAATGAAAGTCACTGGTGTGATAAAATAAGCTCTCGGGGTGCTATGTTGATGAATACTTAAAAGGGATAATATGCACTTTTTGAAGATTATATCACTTAGTTTGAAACCACACAGAATTGGTTTTCCAACACAAAAAAGCTAACGGGCGCTGTAACCATTTGTTTTGCGACAAACCATACTGTAAAATGTCAAATTTCCTAATCATGAGGTAATTCTAGCGTCTTTATTGGTACATTTGACATTAGAAAGAGCATAATGTTTGCTTGAAATAGGATTAAGCTAATACCAAATATCCCAGGAATCTATTTAAGCTCTTTCTATTTACTAATCAATACTGCATTTTTTTTTCATTTAAGCGTCAGTTGTAGCATTTTACCTGTTTCTTTACGGGAAACCCTATGAAAGAGGATTCTTTTGTGAGGACACATCTTTAAGTTATCCATCCATACCCGAGACTATTTCAACACATGTTTTAGTTGCTGTAGGATTAACAATTTCTTTACTAATGGTGAGAAAATGCTTTTAACATAATCACTTTGTCAAACTTATGACTGTGTTTAAATGTATATTTCAAATGTAAAGTGACATTCAAAATTAACAAATTAACAAAAAATGTTCTAATAATTTTATTAAGCATTTAATTTACATATGCAAAAGCTAATGCTAACATATGATAACTATCAGATAAAATAATTTGACTGTGTTTTCAATCTAAATTTAATTGGTATCATATAAATTCTTTTTCTGACAAAAAAAAAAACAACAAAATTTATTTGTATCTGTTCTTATGTTTTGTTAAATGTTATTACGATAGAAGTATATAGTTTACAACAAGACGAATTGGTTACGGGTTAACTTGCACCAGCATTTATATCTTCATCTGAAACTATATAAAAAGAATCGTTCTATTATTATTTTTTGCAGGTAATTTGTGTAGAATTATTGAATTGTATTAATGGTAAATGCCGACCAAGATGTAAATGTTCAGTCGATGTTATTTTTTGTGTGCAGAGTTACATTGTGTTTATGATCGGGTTCCTTGTTCAAGAATTATTTGTAGACGCTATCAAAAACAAAACTGGAGCATTGAGACCAAACTTCTTTGATGTGTGCAAACCACAGTTTAACACAACATTATGTCCAGGGTAAATAATTTTTATTTTCGTATTTGACACTTTAGAGTTTGTATTATTACATTAATTTTTATCTCGTTTATTTAACTCTGTATGTCAAAAGAGTGAAATTGTACAATACGACATTGAAACTGAAAAGTATAATGGATTTTAATATGAAAATGTGAGGAAAACAATAAAGCTGATTTAACTAGTATATTATCATTTACTCTAGTGTAAATTTATTTATTACAGTCAAGGGCAAATTGATTCAAATTTAATATTAAATCAGACGTAATCGATAATTGCTATAAAAAGGTTTGAATAAAAAATCACAATAAAAGTTGTTAAAGTTTTAAAAATACTTTGGCAGATATATATCAGAATACACATGCGCCGGAAGTGACAATAAAGAAATCAGAAGCAGCCGACAATCCTTTCCTTCGGGTCACTCATCATTAGCAATGTACATAGCTATTTATTTTTCCGTAAGTTCAGACATGCATATTTAACAGATTAAAATTATTGTTTTCTCTCAAAATGTAAAGGAGGCAACTTCTTAAATAATATATATACATGTATTGCAATTCTATTGATAAAGATAAAAGATTTTAGAACAAGTATATTTAATTAAATTCTAATGAGATATCTGTAAAAGACAATGGAGTAAAGAATTGCTGTTGAATCATATATCAAATAAATTGTGCAATAAAGATTGGAGAAACTTTATTCATTTACTTTAAATCTAGCGACTTACATTATTTAAAGCTATTTGGTAATGTTAATAATGTTGAATACCGTTTCAGATATATATTGAAAACCGTTTAAACATACGATATACGAGATTGTTGAAGATCTTTATTCAATTTGGACTAATATTAGCTGCAATTCTCTGTGGTTTGGGGCGTATTAGAGAAAACAAACATCATTCTTCAGATGTCATAGCAGGATTTATATTAGGCTTAGCAGTTGCTATATTTGTTGTAAGTATCATATTGATTTCTTTTGTACAAACTTGTAATATTTAATGGGATACAATATTTTGGGATACAATATTTTATGAGATAATACAGCGCTTAGCACAAGTTAAAACAATTCATCTAAAATTCACGTTAAAGCAATTCAGTACATGTTACAGTTAGATTTTTTATCACTCCGATTATCTTATTTGTATACAGCTATGGGAGATATTTATTAAGATCGTTTTTGTATACACGACTTTATAATAAGCAGTTATTCTTTGATGACAAAATGATTAGTTTTCACAGCATGCTATTTCAACTATATATATATATCATTAGATAATATTTTATCGCATGTGTTCTTGTTTTGTGTTTACTTTTCACACTGCTCAAGTTATATTGTTTTTTTATGAATTGTATTGAATTCATCTGTGGTTATATTTGCCATTGCAGTATACTGTGCTCTGGAGGAGATATGTAAAGGAAAAACGTGTCAAAAATAACTATAAAAACTCAATTAATAAACCACGTGACTGCTTCTGTACATGTGCAAGGCCATCTGATATTGATCCACATACATCAGCTTCTGTACAAAATGAATACACCAAGAGAGTTGAAAATGGCAGAAGTTCATCATCTACAAAACTTATAGAGCTTCAAAATGATGATAATCAAAATATATTGGTTACTTCGGAAATACATGTATAATAATATTGACAAAAATAAAGTGCAATATATATAAATATTTATTAGCATGGTATTCGTGATTGCCGGCCTTTATTAAACAAGCTCTGGTAGATTACAGCGTGTTTTTTCATGTGACTCATTTGATAGCCAAGAACGTAAACAAATACCAAAATTTAATACAAACACAAGTATTCTGATTAATGCTAATGGAACGATGATAAAAAATGTGATACCTTGATTATTTTAATATAAAAGTAATGACACTTAGTTTTATGAATTTAGGCAATATAATTTAATTATTATTTATTTGATTCCAATTTTAGATCTGAATTATTATCTATGAATTATAAAATATCAAGCATATGCTAAATATATGAATGTTTATATTTATAAACTCGACTTTTGTCATCAATTTACAGCTGCTTTTAATGCATGGATTTGCTATATTTCAAAATGGATTCTTATTGAATTGTATGCTATTTACAATGTCTGTGTTTCAAGCGGTTAATTTAAAGGATCTACAGTGAAAACAATAAGACATTCATGAACGTTGTTAGATATACTTGCAATTAACATTTTCGTCAATGCCGAATTTGGCTATCTTTAGGGATTCTGTTTTTCTGTATTTTATATATACTTTAAAAGATATGCGAGGTTTCTTACAAGTTTAGTTTACAGTTTTAAAATAGTTTATTCTGAATCTTTTTAATCTCTGTTAATATGTAAATAAGAAACACAAATAAACTTTTATACAACCGTCATTTATAACAGACTTACATTTTGTAATTTTAATGTATTCCTGTCTATTCTTGGAATATTAACATCTACTTAATGTAAATATGTTAGTTCACATAGTGCATAGCGACAAATTGTAATATTAATAAGACGAACCTTCATTTCCCTTTAAATCAGTGAACCTATGAATATTTAGGTACTTTTATTATTAATATATATCTGTGTTTCTTGAGAGATGTAGTGATAGTATCATTTAAGTAAATTTTCATGTGTTTCTTATTAACTCAAATTTATTTTAGATCGTTATGATGTTTATTTTTAGTAAACACGTAGTATCCCTTATTCATATTGATAAGGAACAAATAAACAATACAAGTAATAAAAGTGAACATGTGTCCCTTTGCAAAATTCAAAGGGCAAATGTTTAGATGCAATGAATAAGAATTACATGAAAAGTCCTAAACATGCATTATCTTTATACAATGATATTTTACTAATTTTGACAATTATTATGCTTAGAAATTATTTCTGTTACAATTAAGCAGATTTATCAAAACATATAAACGGTATAGATAAATATTTTTGGGTGTTTTTTGAAAAAAAAATCGAAAGTAGGAAGGTATTTGAAATAAGCGTTTTGTTATAACAGACGTTTTCACCACGCTGGCATCTGCAAACAATTCAAGTTGGCATGTTTATATGAACATTTGCCTATGTTAACGCCTTTTACTGAACAATTAGTAAGAATTAATGAGTGTATAAACCTTTACATCAACATTTTCCCATATTTTCACGGGGAAAAAAATCCAGGAATCATTTAAACATGCATTATTGTGATTTATTTTAGGCAGTTGTTCCATACTTATAACTTGCTTCTAATAATAAATAAAACATACTATAGTATACATGTGTGTTAATTGTTTGCATGTTTAGCTTTTTTCATTTCCATCTCAAAATTTTGATATATTGTTGCAAGAAAATCATTTTATTAAATGCAAACATTTGACAGCAATTTTGAGATACAGACATTAAATAATCACGTCCACTGATTAGGATTGATCATTCCAATATAAAACCTTGGATTTATTTGGTCTGTGGTAGATTTCGGTGAAAATTGCAATGAAATGTTGTTGCTCGCTCATCGATAGCTGTGGGATAAGAATCACACTTTATAATAACTGAAAATATTACTAGTTTTTCAAGCTCAGTACTTAAAATATGATATGACCAATATGGTCATTTGAAAAAAAATATTGCATAAATATAATATAAGTTATTATCTCAATTCAGTGAAATAGTTTCAACCACATGACAGGTTATTCTTGTGCTAAATCAATTCACAGAGTTAATGAAATAATTTGCATCCATTAAATACTCGGAAATTAAAAAGTAACAGCTGTACTAGGTGTACCACAGCCAATTTCCGTTTTTAAGACACTTCTTGCTATCATTGCTCCTTTTTATGCTTCGTGCGCAAATTATTTTCAGTAAAAATGTTTTCTTTACCAACATTAACACTTTAAAGCTTTCGCTAAATAACGTAATTGCTGTAATAAAACAAAGATTGCCTGATTTTTCATATGTTTGGCACCTGTTTGGCTTGTTTATAAATTCTCGTAACACTAACAAAGAAAACTACCATAGCAAAAATACATCGTTAATTAGTCAGAAAGCTGTCATTTCGACGTGTTTTGTCTGCCTGTAAGTGTTATCTACTTCGTCTTATTCTACACTGATGCAGACAATTGGCAGCCTATTTTTACATAATTATGATTCTTGGATTTAGTTTTTAACGTGTCAGTTTGGTGCATGGTTTTGGTGCTCCGTTGACTGGAAAAGTAAAGTTGGCATTATTAAAATTCAAAACCAAACAAACTCGAAAAAAGAAATATTTATAATTAATATATGAAACGTATGAAGACTATGTAGCATATATTCCCACTTTAGAAGTAAGACAGAAAACTGCCATGATGTGTTGCATGACTACTTGTTCGAGTGTTTGTGTTTTTCTTTTCTTTATTTAATTGTTACTGTGTTTGCCAGTTCCTTTTTTATGGTTGGCTGACGTTATGACCTTCTATAATAATTTACAATCTATTGCTTCATACCATATAAGAATTGAATACCAAGATGGAAAAGCGACGTACAAAGAAAACCAGCCTCAGGCAATATGCAGGTACATTCAACCATTGAAACAACACACTGACTGTAATACTGAATTCGGGCAAAAAAACAGGAGAGGACACGAACTAAAGGAGCGGGAGCAAAGGGATGGGTGATTGTCTTCCTCAATTTACAAACAAAATCAGCTAATTATGATAATAAAATCTGTCTACGGTTTTTAAAGTTAAAAAAAGTAAAAACTAATGAAATATGTTTTTTCCTGTACTTGTAATCTTTTTTAACTTCTTTTTTTAACAATTTTGCTATCGCATATAAGACGAAAAGTGCTGTACATAAATACCGTTAAAAAGAAGATACCCAATGCTTTATGAGAAAGAGATTAATTAAAACTTGTACATATACAGTTTTCATAAAATGCATAGTTGGCAAGAAGTAATTCAATTATATGGCTTTCATTTTTAAATTTTATCGATCAACGTTGCATAGCTAAAACTGAAGTAAAAACAGGTCTCTAGAGTATTTATCAAGATGAGTCAAAATATTTTACAAAAACCCTTACAAAGTATGAACATTTTTGAGATGTCTGCTAAATTGTACATTGCATTCTTAATAATATTATACAAACACCACGCCTTGTTTAATTCATTTATTGTTAATGTCTTGTAATTTATTGGCAATAAAACCGAAAACTTTGTTGCAATATTGCATATTAATTGATCATGACACACAAATATGACTCACATACTTAATACTATACAAACTTGGTTCCAATTATTCACTAATGACTTGTACAAACATTCAACATGTTCAAGGACAATGAAACAGCATCAACAGTATCGAAAGGGAACGATATGTCGGAACACAACACGTGTAGCGCATAATGCAAGTAATGTGTTGACTGACAAAATGTTCCGATCATTGTTAAACAGTAGGTTCATGGAAACAAACTGACCGAATATTCGGAATAATAACACTTTTATAATATTATACTATCAAAATTGGTGAAAGCTGAAATTGTGTTTAGTTCGATATACTTAGATATATTTAATGTTAGAAAGGGATGCAATTCATAGCTACTGCTTCTTTTCAACAAACGTGTCTATTCATTTATTTCCGCCACTTTCAAGAGTATGATGTTTCGCATGATTTGATAAAAACATAGCTACATGAAGTGCCGAATGGCAGATGTATAGCAACATTTGTACATGTAATGATTATTTAAATGCTATCTTTGTGCGAAGATTATTCACTACCCATACTAGAGTTTTGCAAGATACTGTATATTACATGTTAATTTGCTATAAATTATTAAATAATCCTGGCCATTTATTATCACTTCTGATATTTAGTTAAGATTCCCTTAAAGCATTTTCTCTCTGATCATTATAACCATGAACTAAAAACCCCAAAATTTAACATTATTCATCACACACACACGCACACAGTCGCGCACGCACACGCGCACACACGCACACACGCACACACACACACACATCCAAGTATCAATTGTCAGCGAACAGGTAAAATAATACTTACTTGATGCTATGCATTAATTGTGTTAAATTGTTTAGTTTACTTTGGAAAAAAAGTCAATAATTACATTTCCAAGGGAAATTTCTATCAAAATCATTCAGGGTGCTTTAAATGAGTGGGGCATACACTTTTCTCTTTATAATATTTTGCTTTATTTATTGTTAAGTCACCCTTATAATAGCCGGTTACTAATTCAACCCAATTTGGCAGCGTAAATATGATAATAATGTCACTAAGTATATGCTTGTATTAACCACTTTGCTATAAAGCAACTCATATTCCGCAAATATTCTTTATTTCGCTTCGGTCAAATTTAGATAAAATTTTGTATACTCATTCAAACATTTGAGTTAAACATTGGAAAACTTTCCGGCACGAAATCAGATGATGTACAATTTTTATTCGAATAAGAAATAAGGTTTTGCAATATTTCTAAAGATTGTAATCAATGTGTTTCTACATAAATAAGAAGTAAAATATGCAGTATGATTTATAAAGTGGCATGGTATAAAACTTTTTTGTCGTGATAAATGTAAAGATTAAAGAAAAACCATTAGGTTTTATGAATATCATTTTGATTATCGTGCTTATTAAATGTCTTACTTATCCAGTTGAAAATTATCTCAGCAGATTTCTAAGAAAATTGGTATGTAATCACATATGATCACTGAATGTTCTGTCACGTTTTGACACAAGTTTGTCAAAATTAAAAAAAAATGATAAAAAAGTACCATAGATGCCTAAGCAAATGCCTTTGTATACATAAGACGCATTCCGGAAGCATGAGCAAAAGCAAATAAAAAGAAAAAAAGACGACAATCGTTTCATGAATCAAATCCTAAACAAAAATTCTTAAAAATCAAACGGTAGGCAAATAATCATATAAACGTCTATACAATTCTAATATTTGACAGGTATCGCACAGAACGCATAATGAAATACATGTAAATCAGAACTTCCATTTTATGCATTGTAATAGTTATTGTGCTTAAATCTTGAAATTATGGGTTTTCACATACGTTTTCTTATCAGCGTTAGCTGTATTGATACAGAGAGAAAAAAGATCTGCATATAAAGAATTAGCAAACAATACCCTTAATTAAACGTCATGTAACGATAACACCATTGCATGCGAAAGACACGTTATAATATTGTTTGTCTCGTATGACATTATATAAGAAAACGCTCTGATATATGACATAATAAAATGAAAAAACTGTATAGAGAAAATTAGATAGAACAACAAAAATAAAACAAAACAAAAACAAGAACGAACAACACATAACAATTAAAAATAAAACCCCGATTACACAAAGAAGTAGGAAACAAACACACAAACAGAACACATTATGACCATTTCTTCAATTAA